TGAGAGAGGCAGCCTGAAGCAGGACATCACATGCAATGGAAGAGCTAAAGCAATGGATTTGATTAGGGTTTCCTTAGCTGCCCAGGAAAGCGTTCTCTGTTTTCACCCTTGGAGGCGATCAAGCAGTTTTTACTCCAAATACCGGAAGTTATCCAACTTAGACGGAGCAATCAGCGTCGGCAGACCCAGGTATTTATCATGAACCCCAACCGCCCAAACTCCTAGAACCTTAGCCAGGAATTCCTGATCTGGCACAACAATGTTTTGACTAAAGCAAACAGCCGATTTCTCCAAGTTCACTCTCTGGCCACTGAGCTCCTCATACTCATTCAGAACCTCGATTAAGTTCTCACACTCTTGAAGAGACCCACGCAGGAACAGGTACGAATCATCTGCAAAGAACAGATGTGATATCCGCGGGGCCCGAGGAGCAACTTTGATTCCCCCAAGCTTATCATCAGTAATAGCCCGCCGAAGAAGGGCGGCAAACCCCTCCGTACAGAGCACAAACAAAAGTGGGGACAAAGGATCCCCCTGGTGGAGGCCTCTAGAGGGGGAGAAGTATCCCGAAGGGGTGCCATTCATCAAAACAGAAAAAGATAAGGACCGGAGGCATTCTTGAATCCATCCCCTCCAGGTAGAGTTAAATCCCATTTTTTCCAAGACAGCGAGAAGAAAGGGCCATTCAACTCTATCATAGGCCTTTTCCATGTCAACCTTTAGAGCCATGTACCCTTTCTTACCACGCGCTTGATTTTCAAATAGTGCATCAACTCATGCCCAAGGAGTATATTCTCGACAATCTGCCGGTCACGAATAAAAGCATTTTGGCCCTACGATACGATTTGAGGTAGAAAACCTGCCAGTCTCTCAGCCATGATCTTAGCAATGATCTTATACACAAACTGGCACAGACTGATTGGCCGCAATTGCCGCATATTTTCCACAGAATCCACTTTGGGAATCAGGGTAAGCCAGGTATGGTTGAAACTACGAAGCATCTTGCTAGTCTCAAAGAACGAACAAACGGCCTCAACCACCGAGGCGCCCACAATATCCCAGAAGGATTTGAAGAATTTCCCCTTGAATCCGTCAGACCCAGGAGCCTGCTCCGACCCCATAGCAAACACCGTTTTGCGAACTTCACCAGGGAGAACTGTCGCCGTCAAGCTGGCATTCATTGCTGGGGTAACACTACAGTCGATAGGCAAGCTTGCCACCCGCTCTATCATATTAAAAACCTGATTCTCCAAGGTGAAGAGATTTCGGTAGAAATTGGTTGCAATACCAGCTTTGCCAGGCTCATCCGTGATCCAATCGCCCTCATCATCACGAAGGCCGGCCACAAAATTCTTCTTACGGCGCGTCCGAGTCACTGTATGAAAATAAGATGTATTCTTGTCTCCCTTTTTTAACCAGTGGACCCTAGAATTTTGCTGCCAATAGATCTCCTCCGCTTCCCATTGCCGATTCAACTCCACTTCCAAAATCCGGATTGTATCCCAGTCAATTGGATGGGAACACTTGATAACTTCAATTTCATTCTGGAGAGTTTTTATATTACGGAGGGAGTTCGTAGTTCCCGCCCTACTCCAATCATACAACAAATGATGGAGCTTCTTAAGGCCTTCCCATAAACGAAACATTGGCGTCCCCTGAATTTCTTCCTGCCAGACGTAATGAACCATAGCCCTAACCTCAGGGTTATCCGCCCACCGGGCATCAAACCGGAAGAGAGGGCGACTATTACGGGCGTAGGGCTTATCAGCGAGGAGGAGCGCCCGATGATCGGACCCTTGGTCAGTAAAATGTTTAACCAAAGTATCCGGGTATTGATCAACCCAGGCCTGCGAGCACAACGCTCTATCAAGGCGTTCGCGAATGCAAGCAGCTCCCATCCTCTTATTCATCCACGTAAATTGGTCACCCTGATACCCAGGGTCATGAAGGCCCAGGTTCAGAATAAAGTGACGCAGGCTAGCAGAGTGAGCGGCGAGCCAAGGATTCCCTCCCTCTTTTTCACTTTCGTGAAGAATAGTATTAAGATCACCAATGACAACGTAAGGGGACTGGATAGTCGCACAAACATCACAAAGATGGGCCAATTGGGACGCTCTGGTGGCAACATTACAACTAATGTAAACGCAAACCACAACATAAGAAAAATTGCTTTCATTGATTTGAACACAAATACAGAAATTGGAATGATAAAACACCGAAGCATCAACTTCGGGGGACCAAGCAACAACTAGACCTCCGGAAGCATCAATCGCATCCACAAAGAAACAATTGGAAAATCAAAACATAAACCCCGCATACGGCGAGAGACAACACGCCGGCTCGATCGTGTTTCCGAAAAAAACACGAGATCCGGTTTATTAGTACAAACTAGTCCTACAGCTGTTTGGAATGTGAGGAATGGTCAAATTCCTCTCACATCCTAGGCAAGAAGCCTCATTTATCGGGGTGGGGCCATTCATGGCTGGCTACCTCCACCATTCCCTGAGATTCATCGATCTCCACAAACTGCTTTTTTGGTACCGGTGGATCCCCCATCTCACCCTTAAGTGCTTCCAAAGGCCGTTTTCTCACCCCTCCCCCCCCCCCCCCCCCCCCCCCCCCCCCCCCCCCCCCCAAGTCCGGGCTCTGCAAATTCGACCCATATTCATCAAACTGAGGGCCAACCTCCACCCCCCCGCCAGGATGATCGCAGCTAGTGGTGTTAGCTACACTCCCCCTATTGGCTTTGCAGACGTATCTTCCTCATGCTAGGTAATAGAAATCTCGCTTCGTAGGCCGCCACCACTTGAGTCACATGACTCTTTGAGGCGGGACACAACGGTCTGGGTTTAGGGACCGTAATCCGTTTCATGACTTCAAAGCGTTGAGGTTCATCCTTCGACTGTGAATCCTCCAAGCCAAGTTCCACCTGGGATTCCTCCAGCGCTTCTTCATTGATGATAGGGAGCCGATTAAGCCCATCATTTGTATGGGCAGTAGCTTCCACACTCTCAGCCATTACTGCCGCATCACCATGATCAGCCGCATCGACCGACCTGGAGCACTCCCCCCGAGCAGTTGGGGCATGCTGGCTATTTCACCTACCTCTGGGTCGAGGCTTTAGGGGCTGAGCACTGGCAGTGACCCCATTGTCATCCTGTGGCACGGTCTCTACACGACGGGGGCGCCGAACACTCTTGGTTGCTTTCCTGCCCGCTAGTTCAAGAGCTGGTAAGTCACGAACCACCGAATTTTGCATCACCTGCTCAACCAGGCTAGGCTCATCATCCTCCGGCTCGGCCTCAAGGATGAGAAGGCGCCGCCGAGAGTGCTCCCATACTTCAGCCATGGGGGTATCCTCATCCGACAAAACTGTGGCAGACCGCGAAGGGTACAATGCCGGCAGAGGCTCTGCCATCTCTTGCTCATGTGGGACAGGGGGCTCGCCGACCAAATTTGAGTCCAGTAGCTTTCGCCGCCTCCCACCAAGTTTAAGCTTGGGAGATTTGTGGAGAGCCAAGCCTCGGGGGCTGGGCCCGCGTTTGGGCGAGCGCACCATGCCAAATTTCGCATTAGGTCTGGTCATGGATTTGTCCAAAAACCCCTGACATGCATTAAGGAACACTTCCTTCTTCCCCTTGCTGTTCGGGACCTGCTGCTGGGCACGCCCTCGAGTACCTGTTCCTGCATCAACCACCACAGTCTCATCCACCATACCACGAGATTGGCGGTTTATCCATACCGAATTTCGTGTACCCCTAAAGGTAGGAGCCTCGTCATCCTCCTCAAAAATCTGCCGTCCAAACTTCTTTGTTGTCATGTGAGGACCAAAACGTTCTTTCCCAAGCGGCGGGTCGAACGTACAGTCTCGACGCGGATGACCTACACATCCGCAGTGGTAGCAAAAACTCGGCAGGAGCTCGTACTTAAGGCTCACCCAGAAACTATCAACCTCCTCACTGACTGCCATAAGTTGGGATCAGAGAGGTTTGGCAAGTTGATGATTGTTCGCACTTTGATAAAGCGCTCTCCCGATTCCTTGCAGGCATACACGCCAGACTCCAAGACTTGGCCAATGGCTGAGGCCACAAATTTACGCCCAAAACTCTTGGTGCAGCAGACTTCATTAACTCCCCAAAGCTGGACACGGAATGGGACAACAGCCATCTCATCGAAGATATCTTTGGTAATCGGTGGCGTCCAGGAGCGCAAGGTAAACAATCTGTCCTTGATGACCCAAGGATTTCCATTACGAGCCCATTTTTTTGCCTCTTCATTCGGCATTGTTATCTCAAACAAGTCAAATTTCGCCTTCGAGACCTTGAGCAGCCCCTTGATTTGCCAGGCTGACCGCAGCGCATCCCGAAGCTCCACCATTGTGAACTGATCCGTTGTAAATAGCCTCCCTAGTAGGGTTCGGGACGCACGGAATTTGGTGGATTGTACCTCACCAAACGAAAATTCTACCACCTGGTCTTTCGAAACGCGAGCCATCGTTATAACCTGGCAAGCATAATTAGGGGGCCGAATTAGCGTATTGATATTTTTAGACCCTAGCAGCCCCTCCAAGGATGAAGGTTCATCCGAAAAGAAATGTGGACAGGGCTGCGTAACAGGTGTATAACTAGGGCCAGCCGCTAGGAATGAGCAGGGAAGAGAAGTACATGAGTCCTGAGTCATACCTGGGTAGAAATCGTCCGCCGACAAGAGGGCTTGGGGGGTCGCCGAGTGATGCTCTAAAACACAACACCTAACAATGGCCAAGTGTAACCAATGAAAGGGACTGCAGTATAGTGGCACAAGTAATAAATATCGAATCCACAGGTCTCTAGAGTTACTATTACTCAGCTTCAGTTCATTATCTAGCAAACTAGATTAAGGATTGATTAACTAAACTACTCTACTAACTAAACTAAGTAAAACTACTAATTACAGTTTGGGAACTCACTTAGGTATGATTCCCCCTAGCTCCTCAATTAGGTCCAAGTTGTAATTCCTTTTGGTTGATTTACTGTTGATTAAACTGCGGAAGATCCGACAGTAGCTTGGAATCTCTTAAGCTGACCAAACCCTCTCAGTCTAACTATCCGGCAGACGACTAGTCTTCACCGGGATAGAAAGCTGAAGCAATAAGCACAGAACTCCACTACTGGAATTGAATTCCAGTACAAAGCAGTAAACTGGCTAACTCTCGTATAGCCAATCTCCTACTACCAAATGATGAGACTCTAGCAACCTAATCAGATTCTATCTATCTCAGATTGCAGCAGGAATCAGGAAAAGTTGATCAGACTTCAATTGACTCAATAAACATGCATCATTCGATTATAATCAAACAATATAGCATCCAAAACTTCATACAAGAAAGATCCTAACTCATGGAACTAAGGTTCCTCAAAACCTAAGTGAAGGGAAGTTACTCCATAGAGAAGAGAGAGACTGCAGAAATCTGATCTAGATCTTCAATCTCCATCTCCAAGCTTGATTCCCGAGCTCCAATGGCGAAGAAATCCTCCGAAATAGCTCCAAGAATGTTCCCAAGTCGCTTTCTCTCTCTAGGGTTCGTCCCTTGGGTGTTTGGGATCCAAAACCCAGCTCTCCCTCTTTCCTTTTGCTGAAAATCGGGTTTTAAACAGCAATTACCGACTCACACGGCCAGGCCACACGGCCGTGTGGCTTTCCCAGCTGACCGTGTGAAGGCTCGGAGATTTCCACACGGCCACATGGCCAGTTCACACGACCGTGTGGGTCGTGCCCGTGTGGCTTGCTCAGCCTCTGTTTAATGCTTTGTTTCTCCTTCGTCCGGACTCCGAATCAGTCGCCGTTTGATCCCAGACACTCGTAGTCTCGTCCTCTTTCTTTTCATGACAAGCTTGCATGATTCTTTGTCCATAAAGTGAGGTATAAATCCATTCTTCTTCAGGTCATACCCGAGTTTCTTCTCCCGAATCGTCAATTGATCTCTGATTGACTTGAAACTTGCGCCTATGCTTCACTTTATGTGCTAGGACCTGAAATGTGACAAAGGAACACAACCTAGCGTAAAATAGGCCAAAGACACGATAATTCAAGCTCAAACAATCAAGAAACAAAGGGGAAAACATGTGCAAATACCGAGTCATCACCGAGCTATCTCCACTACAGCAAATTGGTTTCTATACTTGGTGAGCTAGCAGGCGAAACACAGAGTTGGTTTTTATACACCCAAGACCCGTGCCCCCTTTTAGAATTTGAATATAAGCAGGAGTCCTTGTAACAGGACGAGTAGGGCGGTTCGGATTTGGGCGGTAGTTAGGGTACCTCGAAGATTCCCTTAACAACCCCACAAAATCCGGGGGATAAACCCAAGAATCCCTGATCTCTCAGGATTGAGTCGTCACTTTCTGAGGAGTCGTGAACAGATAGTCACCGTCGGCGGTACGGGCGGTACGACGGGTGTAGGGCAACACCAAGGTTTGCATCGGACACGTCTCCCTTATCCTTTGAGCCGCCATCCCCTCCCTTGGACTTTCATCGTTGGGTTGGTAATGCTGATGAATAATTGTCCGCGACGGGGCTAGTTCAGTCGGCGTTGTCAATCTAGTTGTGGTTAACAGCGAATCATCGCCTTCCACATCGGACGAGGCCGGGAGCCAAAATCTCCACCCTTTCGCGGATGTAAGCCTGGCTCTTTTTGGACGGATAGCAGGCGAGGGACGGATCTCTTCAACCAGATCACATCTCCTCTTTTTGAGTGCACCCCCATGAGCATGGGTCACAGCCCCACTAGTATTCTGTTCAGAAGCATTATCGCTAGCCCTGGGATTCTTCACCACCAGTTTGTATTGGTTGATCTCCGACTGGCCGGACTCTACCGGCGTGGTAGAACCTCGCTCCCGGCCCAGCTTCTGGTTTCTCATACTGGCAGCGAATACGATTGAGCAGAGTTGCAGTAGACGATCGCCTAATCATAGCGATAATTCCAGGAGAGAGGAGAGAGCTCCTCTCATTTTTTTTTCTTTTTTTCATCTTTTCCATTTTCATCTACTCAGCCATTTGATTTTTTATTAAAATTGAAGAGCTCTCATACGTACAGTCAGTAAGAAGTAAAGGGTTTACAGGACTTGGAGATCAAGTCATGGGAGTAGCAATGCAAGCAAGTCGTTCATTGCTATTTTATTTTGTCTTCATAAAGTCAATACTTTAAAAAAATATTAAAATTATTTTTAATATTATTTTGCAATAATAATTCCCAACTATTTTCAAGTATAATAGCCCTAAGCCCCTAACTATTTTGAGAACGGTTTCAAATATCAGTAAAGCTTGGTTGCAAAATATTTAGTTTGGAGCAGTTGCACTTTATAAAAAAAAAGAGAAAATTATTATTCAAAATTAGAAAGCAGTACCTCATATGTCTATACATAGGGGTGGAAGTTTGGTTTGCGGGTTGCGGGTAACCCGCACTAAACCGCACACTTTGTGGATACCCATACCCACAATTTGTGGATATTGTGTTGGGTGTGGGTAGCAAAATATTAATTTTAGTGGTTAGTGGTTAACCACTAAACCCACATTAACCACATTAGTTATATTTATTTATTCAAAATACTTTGTAACCCACATTTGTTATATTAGTTTGTGAAACTTGGTAGACTAAGAATTTAAGTAGCTAATAAAATCAAATATGCACTTATTCTATAAAACAAAACCAAGTCAATACGCAATGTTCATGTGAGATACTTTTATAAAACAAAACCAAGTCAATACGCAATGTTCATGTGAGATACTTTTATTAAATAAGCATTGTCCCTGTGTTATATGTTTATTTTATAACAAAACCAAGTCCATAGATATAGTTAGATAAATTAATCGATTCGTTAAAAGAGGGGAATAATCCATAAAGGTAGTCAGATACCCAAACTCATCTCCATTTCTCCACGAACTCACGAACAACACAACATGCAACCAACTCCCAACAACACAAGGCTATAATTGAGAGTGGAGAATAATCGATTCATTAAGAGCGGGCGCCTCCACTTATCGAGCCACTTTTGTGTTTTGCTATTGTTACCATCGGAGGAGTCGTGACATGCAACGATGTTAGTCTGATAACATATCAATCCATCACTTCTGAATTTACACTAACTAACATATTGTATTCGAGATTTATAATTTAATTTACACTTTATTAATTTTCTTTTATGTACGTTTTTGTGTGAGAAGAAATACAACATTACTATTTAATTACAATATTATTATTATTAATGTGAAATTTTGTGAGTATCCACAACCAACCCGCACAGGATAATGGTTAACCACTACCCACTGCGAGGCGGGTTGTGAGTAGCATAATTCTATATTTGTGGGTGTGGTTACTCACACACAATTTCCACCCCTATATATACCTGTACAAATGGCTGATCATTTTATAAATATATAAAGTAAACGTCACCTAAATCTCTCGTCCACCATGCAAAATTGAGTTAATGGTGTGAAATTAGACGGCCGAGTATCAAAGCCTAGAATCTCTTTTGAGTTTGAATGTTATATTATTCATTTACATCTCTTAAACGAAAAACAATTGTGCATTGATCAGATGTTTATATTGGTCGGTGCTTATGAGGATGTGAAGATTCATGGACTTTCTTGGAGTCAAACATTCTTTCTAATAATATCAAAATCTACTAGGTCTGATTGACTTGCAAATATCAGGAATACAGTAACTAATAATATTTAAATCTTTCTCGATTATTTTTTGGGTCAATTTCTTTTGCTGAACTTCATCGGGAACAAAATGCATGTGGCCAACAGGGAAGGACTGCGGGAAAGACAATTGTTGTCAACATCATGGTTTCCTCTGGTCATGTAATTGTTGTTGCTCCGACTACCGTTGTTATTATGAGCCTGATAACAATGGCTCATCGCCGATTAATGGAACCACCGACGGGCCACTCAATGGTCAGTGTTCTATATAAGTGCCTTTGTTTTAAGGTTAATTTATTTAGTTAGTTATATATATTTTTAAATTTTATGTTCATGTTACAGGAAAGAAATCAGATGAGCTGGAGAAGCATACATCCACTGAGAAACCAAAAGACTAGATAAAGTAAAAGTAAAAATCATGTATGTCGACTTTGAATATTGAGGATCGTTAGCAATAATCATTAATAATTGGCTTAATATATTTGTATGTACTGAACTTTTCACATAATACACATCCTGTTCAATCTTTTCGATCTATAATATTATGACCTTAACTATACACCAAAGTAACGAAATTGACCAAACTCGAAAATTGATCGTTATCTTGGAGGGTCAATCGCGTTGACTAACGATCAACGTGCCACGTCACCGCCAAATAAGCACTTTTCAATTAAAGTTTTTTATATTTTCCACCTATTATTATTTATTTTTTCCATTTTGAATTAAATAAATTAAAAGTTGGAAATTTTGTTTTTAAAATTTTATTTAATTATTTTTTCATACAATGTGGAATCCATGTCATCAATATTGGGTGACTGGACAATGACGTGCCGCATTGACCGTTAGTCAACACGTTTGACCGTCTAAGATAACGGTCAATTTTCTGGTTTGGCCAATTTCGTGACTTTGGTGTATAGTTCAGGCCTAATGTTATAGATAAAAAAAAATTGGTCAGAATGTTTATTATGTGAAAAATTCAGACCACACAAATATACTAACCCTTAATAATTATACATAGGATCCATCATAAAATAAGCAACTACATATGCTACTTGTCAAAGCGCCAATGTCTTTTGTTCGTTGTTCTGTGCTCTATAAGATAACTAGATTAGGGCCCGCCCATTGGATGAATGTATTTCGTAAGTAAATAGCATAAATAACAACAACAATTATATTAAGCAATCTAAATTTATATTTGGAACCATAAGAATTCAAATGATTGAATAAAAAAATAAGAAAGAAACATATATCATAGAGTTTTATGTTATCCTAACATATGACTCGATGAAATTTTTTATTTAAAATAAATAACTAAACCCATTAAATGGAACTCACTTCTAAAAAGCATAATTAAACCACACTTCGATTTACTCATTGATGTCAAAGACTACTCTAAATTATTTTTTTGACTTCTTTTTAATTGCTCGTCATAAGCAGCATTATCATCTCAACCAATAACATCGCAATTATCTTTATTAATGAAACATATTTCCACCATCAATAATTTCTTTCTTCTCCTCCCCCATTACATTCAAAGCAAAATTTTAAATTTCATCATATTTGATGAAATCATACTTATAAACTTCAATTGTCGAAATATCATCGCAATCTTGGAGCATATTATTTGATTGAAACATGATCATCGATTTGTTTGAAATTGGAATGTAATCTAATGTTGGTTTGATTCACTTTGAAGTTCTCAAAGGCATGCATACTATGTTATCGTGAAACAAATATTGTCAATCCTTAATAATGTATTTGAGTATTTTCACCCAAATACCATTATCTTGAGAAAAAGTAACAATATTTATTATATTTTCAAATTTTAATAGTAGAGTCCAAACTCGTGTGGTCATTGTGAAAATATTAGTTTGTCTTTCCTAGTTGATAATCTTCATATGAAGATGAAGAATAGTATTTGTCTTGGAATTGATTGCGAGTAACTTTTCAGAAACATGACTGGAGATACAACTCCTTATTGAGTTGTTCGATCAAATAAAATTTGGTTTTCACGCTGATGGTCCTTTAGTAGTGGGAATCTCCTTGGAATATGAGAAATTTGTCACCTTAAAGATAGGGTGCTCGCGAACAATGTAAAGATATTCTGGTATGCATAGTTGCATACTAATAATTTATGGAAAAAAATGAGAAATAAGACCCATGACATAGATAATCCAAAAATACAAAATAACTAATAACTACTAATACTTACCATTTATTTTTTATAAAAACAAACCAGAGATATCCAACATACTATTTTCCAAGTCTTGGCTAAAAAATATACCCAAGTTGATTATAAATAACTTCAAAATTTTATGTTATAAAACAAAACAAAAAATGCATGTCTATCAGCAATGTCATCACACGGATGTAGCTTTCATATTATTGTGGTACAAAAACAATATTACAATGATTTCAGTTTTACTCTATCAAGTTACAAAAGTTATACTCAAATTTTACAGATTTCATACCATATTGGTGGAATTATGTATTATTATCGTAAAGGAACTTAAGACATGTCTGCAGCCATGTCTTTTAGAAGGATACTTTTTTATTTGAAACCATATCAAAACAAAAATCATTGTGTAAATCACATTAATTTAAATTTTCTATTAAAATATGTAACTTTGTAATTGAAATAAAAGAGATACATACCATTTGTAACGATAGGTTAAAAAAAAATTATTGTAAAAATTTCATACTATATTGGTGTGGTATGTATCATTGTAGTCAAGTAGCCTAATACGTGGTTGTGACCATGATTTTAGAAGGATAATTTTTTAATTTAAATCATATTTGAATGATGTAATTGTGCAATATAATTTTTCTATGCAAAAATATGTAACTTTTAAATTAAAATGAAAATATACATATCATTTAGTAATGTTAGGGTATTTAAAATTAAGGAGACAGTAGTGGAGACCTCTAATTAGTCATTAGATGTCTAAAAAATTGTAATAAAAATTATTATTCTTGTGGCTTTTATTTTTTAAATGATTTATTAAATAAAATGATATAATAATTAATTATGAGGATGGAGAGTGATAATAGTGTCTTTAGTTTGTCAAATTATTTAATAAAGAAAGAATTTGAGTTCAACTAAAATTGCTCAGAGCTCATTAAAACTTGAGTTCAACTTGTGGACGCCATGCTAGCATTCAGGTTATATGCGTAGTTTTTTATTATTATTTGTTAATTAACATGACAAAAATATTCTTTCTAAATTCTCTCTAAGAACTTGAAATGTTGAATCGAGTATGTTTTGATGGAGAACCTCCATAAATAAGGGGGCTTGCTATTTGCCGCCAACCAAATTACTATTTGCCGCCAACAAAAATAAAAAATTATACATGTAAATCTTTGGTTAAGGAGTTTCACAATCTACAACATATCCAACTTTCAGAAAAACGTATTGAATCAGAAAAAATCGACGCTCGCCGGAAAGTCACCGGAAAATCATCGGGAAAGGCCATCCTCGACGTAAACTGCGGACACACATCCATGAATCATCACTAAGAAGGTGCGTCAATTTTTTGTAGTTTAGAACAATTTTTCCGACGATTTGCAACGAATAGACGGTGGCCCGAAATTTTCCGGCAGCCGAAACCTGGCCGGGCCGAAAATTTCCGGCGGCCGGAACCAGGCAGGGCCGACGGAAATCGGTGGCTGGAGCCAGGGTGAGCCACAAAATATTTGTGGCTCACCTGGCTCCGCCCACTGTGTCTGGTTCCGGCCGCCGGAAATTTCGGGCTACAGTTTGTGTTTGGAATTTTCGGAAAAATTCGATTTTAGGAGTTGAATTTAGAGTTAGGAGTTGAATTTAGTGTTTAAGAATTGAATTCAGAGTTAAGGATTTGAATTTAGAGTTTAAGTATTAAATTTAGAGTTTAGGAGTTGAATTTAGAGTTTAGGAGTTGAATTTAGCGATTAAGACTTGAAATTAGCGTTTAGGTTCACAGGAATATTGATGTGTTATCTTGTAATTGTAGGAAAAATGTCAGAGTGTTTACCGGCCGATCATGATTACACACAGGAATTTGAGAATGGGATCCATTATGCAAGTGTGAAGTTAGCTGGGTTAGCTGCAAAAGCAATCGCTCAAGAGTGTGGGTTCTTTATTATTAGAGGAGCATGGAAACCGAATACTGCTGGACTACATCCTGTTACTACCCTCTATATGTATTGCGACAGAAACAGTAGGATCGTTAAGTCTTATAAACCAAACCCTACGAAGGAGACGCGTGGGAATATTAGTTCGAAGGGTACTGGTTGCCAGTTTCATATATGTATTAAGGAAGTATGGCAAGAGAATGGTCCAAACATATGGGTCATAGTGGGAGTGACAAGACGTGTAATCGGAGCTAATAGAGGGTTTCACAACCATGAAAAGGTGTTGTATCCAGAATATCACCGACACAACAAACAGTTTAGTGAGGCTGAAAAAGAGAGGTTAAGATTAATGAGGAAGGCGGGGGTGATACCAAATCAGCAGAAGACGACACTCAATACTGAAGGGGGTGTGCATCATGATATCAAACAGATGTACAACAGAAATTACAAGACAAGATTGGATGAGATGGGTGAAATGGATGCGATAAAGTTTGCGCTTCACAGAGCTGAACAACGTGGGTACCGTATCTATTTGCAAAAGGACTCTAATAATGGGCCTCCGAACGACCTTTTCAACTGCTTCGAGTTCATCCCAAGAAGCGCACACAAACCCACCTTCGGATGGTCAAGCTGCGTAGAAGTCCTACTCATCAGTCGTCCCTGTACAGGAATCTGCAGTAAGTACTGAACATCGTGGAGGAGGATCGTTATCTCTCCAAAAGGCAAGTGGGAGGTGTTCGTATCTGGCTGCCACCTCTCCACAAAAGCTGAGATCAAAGCCTCGTTAATCGCTATCTTGCAGAACATAGAGTAGATCAGGTGCTGGAGACCTGACTGCTGAACCAGATCCTCCGCCTCAACATGACTAAACACGTAGCTACCCAGATACTCAATCGCGGATGTACGGCTGTAGCAACTGATGACCCCTCGATCTCCAACCCCCGTCCAAAGCGCATAGGCAGCGTGGCCACGGAAGCTCCTAATGAGGCTAGGATCCGTAGGTCAACCAGGACACTCACCAACAAGCTCCCACGGTGGAGGACCACTCGAACGTCCTCCCCTACTCCGTCCAGTCCCCGAGCTCTCTGTATCCTCACGAGCAGGTGGTACGAACCGCCCAACTCGGTCTCTATACATAACAGGACGTGATATTGTCGTACAAGACGATACTCGTCCATGTCCACGCGTAGGTGGAGGGACCTGGATATCCTCATCAGTATCATCCTCATCAAACTCAGTCGAGACCACTCTCCATGCAGCACCATGGTTCCTCCCATGGAAACCAGACGCCCGTGATGCCGAACGAACAACTACAGTAGAAGCCTCTAACTCATCCTCACCTAAATTTGTCTCTGACTGATGTCCAATATCTCGAGAGCGCTTTTTCTCCTTATTCTTCTTAGGCACCTTCCTTCGTGTTGATGCATCAACAACCCTACCATTGAATCTATGCAACTCACTCCCACTCGCATAATCCATATCTAATTATCTACAATTATTAATTAATTAATTTTCTATTAACTAATCTAAGTAATTAAACATTCATACACCTATTACCAAAAAAAACATTCATACACCAACTTAAATAAATATTAACACTAATTGCTAATTTCTATTAACCAATTAAGTAATATTTTATTGACAAATTAATTAATATATAAAATTAAATGCAAAAACCAACCGGGCCGAAAAAACTGAGGTCATTGCGTCGCCGGACCGAAATTTTTTTTGGCCGGTGCGCCGCTGGGCCGAAAACATTTTGCGGTCGGCCGCCGTCTCCCTTCTCCAACTCGCCAGCAAGAACAAGAAATCCAAGCCCAAGGTCGTCCGCGTCTTCCAATCCGTGTTCCGCTTCTTCCCAATAATCGGCGCCCCCGCCTGCCGGATGCCGATCCTCCTCTTGAGCGGGTTCTCCGACGGGCCGAATCGGGGCGGGGTGTCGGGTACCCGGGTCACGGGCACCCTGTTCGGGTACCAGAAGGGCCGGGTCAACCTCTCGATCCAGGAAACCCCCAAATGCCTCCCTTCTGCCGTCGTCGAGCTCGCGATGCAGACGAGCATCCTGCAGAAGGACCTCGGGTCGGGCATGCTCCGGATCGCGCTCGAGTGCGAGGAGCGGGCCGACAACGGCGACGGGAACAGTAATAATAACAATTAACAACAACGGGGGTTCTAATAGCAGCAATAAGATGAAATTGCTGGACGAGCCGGTGTGGACGATGTATATGTTGAGCCCATAAGGGAATAATGGAGGCGGATGGATTTGTCTTCGATTAGGGTTTTAGTCAAAGGTGGGTAGATTAATTGGTGGGTCGGGTCAGTTCTGTTTTAGTTAGTGGGTCTGGTCTGGTTTGGTTAGAGGTTTGGTTAGGTTTAGCTGACATGGAGGGTTTAAAATTTAAATGATGTGGCGGGTCGGGTCAGTCAATTTTGGGGTTAAAAAGTGCTGATTAGGCAAATCCGTCAGCCACGTCATCACTTAACGGACGCCGTTAACGGCGTTGGACGACAGCTAACGGAGAGTGACCATAAATGAACGGTTTTGTAAAGTTAGTGACCAAAAATGGATTTAAATATTTAGAGTGACCAAACATAAACGCTTTTTGTAATCTCAGTGACCAACCATGCAATTAACCCTATAATGTTTGGGAGCATAAAATGTAGGTATCAAATTTGTGAGGTCCACAAATTTGGAATATTTTTGTATCAAATATGTAAACTCCACGGATTTAAAATTCTCACCTAATTTAGTGAGATTTGAGATAATGAACCAATTTTTTTTATGCTAATAAACCAATCACTCATAAAATTGAATATTCAAACAATAATTTTCTCAAACCCCAAATGAACTAAATCCGTCACGAATTCATAATTTTCCAAATTTTTAGATTTATACAAACCTTCATTTTTCAAATATTTGGTCCAAACGATCCCTTAGATACTCTATATTTTTTTTGGTAGAAAATACTCTATAAATCATGCATGTAAATTAATTATTTGAAATTTGAAAGGAAGGGAAAATAAAGGCGGGAAAGCAACTAGTCTCTTGGTATCCGTATTGCTTTCTCTAGCGCGGGTCCACCCTCCTGCCCTGTCTTGTCTTCTCAACCAATTCCCTCCCTTTTCCTCCCAAATTGCCAAATCCAAACCGCGTCTCCACAAGTTTCTGGTTCAGCATTTGAGCATTTATTAGTTTAATCTTCTCTTTGAACACTCACTTATCTTGCTTAAGACTTTACGGTGGGCCTTAATCGGAATTTGAAACACTTGTCACCTGACTTGAGATGATATGATAGCGCACCAATATGAACAATCATTGCCGAAATTGCTTCTACAGGAACTGAGTTCAAATTAAAGTGCACAACCCAACTTGACCGATAAACAAGCATCCAAACAAACCCCCGTCTCTCGTTCTTCTCGTCACCTCCCAAAACAGAGCAACAAGAATGGAGAATGAAGAACTGTTGGTTCTGCAAGAACAAGAAGAAGCATCAGCCGCGGTCGTCGGAGCCGGAGAAAGCAGTGTAACCCACGGAGGGAGGTACGTGGAGTACAACCTTCTTGGAAACATCTTCCATGTATCCTCCAAATACGTCCCTCCCGTTCATCCCGTCGGCCGCGGTTCGTATGGCGTCGTCTGGTACTCTATTCTACACGATCCTCACTCCATCAACTTAACCTTCCTCTGTTTTCCTAATGTGTAATAAGCCAAAATCGAAATTTCTCCCCCCATTTCGCAGCTGTGCCAGAAATGCAGAGACGAATGAGGCGGTGGCGATTAAGAAGATCGGAAATGCTTTTGACAACAGTGTTGACGCCAAGAGAACCCTCCGTGAGATCAAGCTTCTCCGCCATATGGATCACGAAAACGTAAATCTGATTAATTACCTCCAAATTAGTACCGATTTCCCTCTCGATCGAAAGTAACTAATCTGGCTGTTGCTCTGTTTTAATCGTGTGTGCAGATTATCAAAATTAAAGACATAATCCCGCCGCCGGAGAAGGACAAGTTCGACGACGTTTACATCGTCTACGAACTAATGGATACCGACCTCCACCACATCATCCGCTCCTCACAGCTTCTCACCGACGACCACGCCCAGGTTTCTGATTATACAATATTGTGTCTCTACATTTGAGTGGTATTGAGGTGAAAATTATGTTGGACTGATGATATCAATGGCGGGGCAGTACTTTCTGTACCAATTGCTTAGGGGTTTGAAGTACATCCACTCGGCAAACGTGCTCCATCGCGACTTGAAGCCAGGGAACCTGTTGCTGGATGCGAATTGCGATCTCAAGATATGTGATTTCGGGCTGGCGAGGACCACGTCTGAGTCCGATTTCATGACGGAGTACGTCGTCACGCGGTGGTACAGGGCGCCGGAGCTCTTGCTCAATTGCTCCGGCTACACCGCCGCAATCGACATTTGGTCCGTCGGTTGCATTTTCTTGGAGATTGTTCAAAGAGAGCCGCTTTTTCCTGGGAAGGACTACGTTCAGCAGTTGGGTCTTATTACCCAGGTAAAAGAAAATTTCCACAAACCTGCTGAAGAAAGAAGAAGATACAATTGATCAAGTGAACTCAAAAAGTAAACAACTTTTGCTCTCTCTGTAAAAATGTTTTCTTTTGCAGCTACTGGGTTCGCCGGAAGATTCTGATTTGGGATTCCTGAGAAGCGACAACGCAAGGAAGTATGTGAAGCATTTGCCGCATTTCCCTAAGCAACCCTTTGTGGAGAAGTTCCCAGATGTTTCGCCATTAGCGCTGGATCTCGCGGAGAAAATGCTCGTCTTTGATCCCAGCAAGCGCATAACTGGTACGCCAGGGTACTCTGTTTCATTACTTACTCTGTTTTCATGAACAAGAAAAATGGCAATAATTAAGTTCCTTTATCGTGGACTTTTCAATTCCGCAGTGGAGGAAGCGTTGAATCATCCGTATCTGTCGAGTCTCCATGAGATCAACGAGGAACCAACCTGTTCAAGTCCGTTCGTCTTCGATTTCGAACAGGCTTGTTTGAGTGAGGACGACATAAAGGAGCTCATTTATTTGGAGTCTCTGAATTTCATGTCTCCCGATGAAGACGCCATGGACTTGAGTAATTGACGCCCTGAATTTCATTGTTTCCCGATTGTTCATTTCCGGTTTGTGCTCATTATTGGTGATGACAGCATTGACAGGACTTAATTTTTGCTGGTTATTGTTTCGAAAAAGGAAAACAGAGAGAATGGATATCTCTGAAGAGGAGATGGGATCTTCTCTTTGAGCAGCTTTCCCACTAAGCTAGGGAAATTTTGATCCTTTTTTGTTTGGTTATAAATATGTTGATGGCGGGAATTGAACAGAGGGTTTTGGTTATCCTGAGCCCCTTCAATGTATACATTGGTTTGCTTCGTTGATTTGAAAAATTAGGATTTTGGCATGACTTGGATTTTGGAAAATCATGTATATATGATGAATTTGGTGATATTATAGATTTAAAAAAGTCTATTGTTTGCTTTTTGGATTTGATTATGAATTTTGTTTGATTAGATTTATGAGTAAGAAATACAAATTATCTTGTTACCTTTATCTAATTATATTTATATATTATAATACAAATTTTTCATTAAAAATAAATCCAAAACATACAAAGAAATTTGAAACTCTTTACCACTATGTGACTAATAAATCAACTACAAATATAAAAATATTTTACAATTGGCACTAATTAACAATTCATCTAATAATGTACGCAATATTATGTATCAGTTGCAAACAATTGCTCACTTTAATGCAAAACTCATCATGTTCTTGCCAACTCTCCGATTTTGGAATCCGACAGTCAATCAAATAATAATGCACAAGATGATCATAAGGTGTTTATTGTTGAATCTAACAAATTACATACACATTCATATTTAAATGAAATACGATATTACAAAACGAAATGATAAATTTTCATATTTATAAAATATGACATTATAAAAGTTTATATATTTTTTTTGCATTGCAAGAGGCGAAAGCCAAGAAAAGAAGAGCTACATGGGGAAGGAGATGAGGAAGAGCTAACTTGGAGGAAACAATCCGCCGATCAAAAGAGACTCCCTGCATATCGTCCAGAATAATGGCCACTACCACTAACGGTAGATGTGCAAGTTCATGTATATTGTAGAGGTAGACGAGACTGTGATTCGAGAGCCAATCCGCGACTCTATTCCCTTCCCGATAGACATGAACAATGCGCACCAGCCAGCCACGACTAACCCTCCCGCGAATAGCATTTAACAAGGTGGCAATAGGATGAACTGGATCATCCATGTCCTTAAGTAACAGAATGGCGAGTTGCGAATCCAACTCGATCACAAGCTGGCGGTGACCGGACTTCCACGCGATATCCAACCCGTGATAGAAAGCCCACAGCTCCGCCGGAGCTGCATAGGCTTCTCCAATATTCACCACAAACCCGACGATCCACGGCCCGACATCATCTCTCAACACACCTCCGACCCCAGCGAGGCCTGGGTTCCCATGAGATGCTCCGTCGATGTTGATCTTCACTCGCCCACCCGTAGGTTGTTCCCAAGTAATTGCCGCCATAACCCAAGGTGCAGGGGTTGTCCTACCGCTCGGCAACAAGGACGGGGCGCACCAGTCTTCACTCCAGAGCTTGACCTTAGCAAGAATCGAGTGGGCCAAGGAAGGTGGAGTGAGAGTGGATGAAATTCCCTTAAAACACATGTCATTCCTATTTTTCCACAAGAGCCAAACAGTGATGTTGAAGAATGCCGCCCACTCTACCCCCTAGTGCTCCTCCTCGCCTGCGTCCAAGTTCATTCGGAGCCAAGCAGTAGTATCTGCCGAGAAGAATCCTTGTCGTCTAGTGCTGAGGACCTGCCTTGTCTAGAAATACGCAGCAGGGGGGCAGTCCCTGAGTATGTGAAGGATTTCTCTACTTGCCCACCGCACCGCAGACATTCAGAAGAAGCGGCCGACTTCCTCGAAAAACGAAGAACGTTAGTCGCAATTCTTCCAAGGCAAACCATCCACATGAAGCACCAGACCCACTCCGGGACTGGAAGACGCCATATAATCTTCCAAAACTTGGCATCGCGGTCAGGCTCCTGCGGCAGGAGAGAATGGTGGGCGGTCTTCGTGGTGAACCTGCCGTTTGAAGACAACAACTAGAAAAGAGTAGCCTCCTCGTTGGAGAGCCTATCCACCGCCACACTTGTAATCTTCTGTTGGATTTCTTGGGGAAGGTGGTCAAACGCATTGACTAACGGTCAACCCACCACGTTATTCCCCAATCAGCACAATAAATATAAAAAAAATTCAAAAAAATCCACATAATCTGCAATTTCATAATTTTTCCCATAAAAAATTAAAATTTAAATGAAAGTGAAAAAATCTTAACACATCTCATCTTCCTCTAATCTTTCTCTCCTCTGTAGTTCCAACTCATTAGAAAGAGAGGACGATGGTGGCAGCGGCACTGAGTTTAGCCTCGCCCACATCGACTCTATCAAGGCCTGATTCAGCAGCTTCGCCCTGAACCCGGCCATCCCCATTCGGGCCTGCCATATCTCAAAAACTTCATACCGCTTGACCCGATCTCTCCCTTCGCAGGCAACTGCGTTCGCCAGCCTCCTCCCCAATCCTTCCTCAACGCGCACACACTCCGCCTTCCCCTACACCGTCCATAATCTTTCCATTTTCTCCTTGTGGTGGGAGTGAGTCCTTCTGAAATGCAAACGATTGAGGCCCTACTCGTCGCTTCAGAATCGTTTTCGTCTTCCTTCGCTTCACCATGTGCCTGTGTATCCCTTTCTTCAAGTGGATCTTAGCTTGCAAAACAGAGTCAAACACGAAACAGAGAAGCAACCACTACAAGTAAACTTACTTTTAGAAACAAATAATTAGAAGCAATTGATATATTAGCGTCTAAAGATAAACATTTGAGACTATTACATTATTTGATCCTATAGGTAGAATTATTTGCTCCTGTATCAAAGTTTATTATTAATAATAAATATAAATGAAATCAAAATATGAGCTATAGAGTCAATTATTGTAATTGCTACTAAAATTATGCAGGTCATACCACTAAACCACATTTACAGGCAAATTTAATTGCCACTAAACCCTATCATGGAAAACCTAACTGGCAGAGGCCATACTCCATAGTGTCCCCATGAGGCCATGACCATAATTAACCCTTTATGCCCGTCATCGTTTCCACTTCCCACTTCCCAGTGCTTTCTTTCAAAAATTAGTAAAGGAAGAAGAAAGAAGAGAGTTACAGAACTCTGCCTCCACCCACAGTAATCCACCTCGTCTACGCCTCTTAGCCACCTCTAAATATCCCACCGCCACTGCCACCACACACAACTCTGTCCCTACCGCCTCCTCTCCATCTGGTGATGTTTGTTACTCCACAATGGCCTCTCGATTTGGCGCTGCTGCCACCAGATCCAGTGCACCTTCCATCCTCAACAACATTCAGCACCCAGTGGACGGAATGGCAGAGGATGCTACTTTTTCGCTCAGAGGGATCCATTGCTGCCCAACGTCGATTCCTAATGATAGATCTAAAATCTCCAAGAACTGGTGGTTTAGTTCACAGTTTGTTTGTCGTGCCCTAGACTGTCAGATTTGCCCTGCTCTGACGGCTTTGCCATCCTTCCCGCATGTTCGAGACTTCGATTGCACTTTGCCTCCTCCCCTGACCTCTATTGATAACCTTTAGTGAATGTATCATCGTCCCTCGCCACTAGGATAACCAGATCTCGACCTCTTTCATTGTCGCTGTGTGTATGTGGACGAACTCAATGTTGTTGTTGTTGTTTCCTTTCCCTCGGGTTTTGATTGAAAGTAGTAGTTGTGGATTTAGCGAAGGAGGTTGTGGCTATTTTTTTGGATAGTTAGAGATTGAGAATCATCTTCGTCCTGGTGAAGATTGGGTCCGTTGTAGATCCGGTTTGAAATGGCAAAGGATGAGCTGAAGGATGAAGTAGCCATCGAGGAGCATCTTCTTAGCGATGCTCGGTCTTGATATTTCTTGAGGCCAAAGGATGCTCGTATTTGATGCGTTGAGATTGAGGTGGAGAAGAAAGGAGGAGGAAATGAGTTGTGGGTCTGCAATTGTTCATTGCTTGGATATTGCATTTGAATTTGACGGTTTGCAATTAGCACTATATTCAATCAGGTATAGTATTCTTCGACATGAATTGGTTTTTAAAGCATTTACCTTGATGTTGTATTGGTTATGGGAATTATTGTTGATAAGATTCTAGCTTTAGGTTGCATAATTTCTTGTTCTTTAGTAAAGCAAAAGAATGAGCATTTCTAAAATACAGGTTATTAAAAAGCACTTGGCAGGAACAGATTCGGGAAGAGTATGTGAGTTATTGAAGGAATGTCGCTAGTCTTAGTTATGTCGTGGCTGATAAGAATTCAGAGGTTTTCACCCGAAGGCCATAGAGATTAAACTCGTACTAAAAGGTAGACTTACGCATTTTTTTGCCAGATTACTATGACGAACATGTATTTCATCTGCCTTAGTCATACAATTGAGCCGATTTGTTTTCTGCAACAGGCAAAACAACCAGGTTTAGATGCCAACGGTAAGGATTATGTGGGTCACTATAGGATTGCTTAGAAGCTTACAAGCTGGATTCATCCCCAAAAAACTCATAAGCTGAGGCCTGAGCTAGTAAGTTCGTTCATGTTTAGTTTGGAATCTTGATGTACTACAATGTTTTCATACCTCTAATGTTGGTAATACCCTACAGCCTAGGAAGCTTATGTATGTGCAGCCAGTCCAGACAACAACGAAGAAAGAGTTGAAGAAAAGCGATGGATAAGAATGTTGTTGCTTTGAGGAGGTGGTAGACGTTGAGGATGGAAGTGGGGATGTGCTATATTACAAAGTTTACGACTTCTCTGCATATTAGAGTTCTTGTGGCCTTTGCTCCAGTAAAAGAATCCATGGTTTCGGTGTTTATGTCGTTTCTCGTCCTTGGATTGTATTAGTTTTTTTTTTGTCTGTACTCTATCTTGCTAGTTTTGTTGTATCATCAGTCATTTTTTTTTGACAAAGTTGTATTAGTAGTCATTAAGTATATAAATATGTAAGAAACTTTCCTTTCTCGTTAAATACTAGCACATTTCTTTTCATCAAAGTTTTATTGGTATAATAAAATATAGTAATTTTAAACGATATTAATAGAAAAATAACCACCAAAAAAGTTAAATACCAACAAATTCATTTGTCTCAGAATGTATAATCTATGTCTCCATTAGGCTCTTTACAAACAAATAAAGTTCTCTAAAAAACTAGAATGACAAACAGTTTCATTTATCTCTAAAAGTAAATAAAGGAGCTAATATAGTTGTCTCAAAAACTAGAATGAAAAACAATTACATTTGTCTCTAAAAGAAAATAAAGGAGCAACTTATGGGTTTTAATAATATAATTTGCATCCAATAAATTTGCATCCAATTCTGTAATATGTAGCAGATATTATTTGTTTCTACATTTGCGTCTAAAAGTAATTAGAGACAGAGTCGTCCGATGCAAA